AATCAAGACAGTATGATATTGATGTAAAAGTAGACACATACGTTAGTGGAACAGATAAAGTTTAAAAATAGACCCACACATACACGGTCAACCAATTTTCAACAGAGTTGCCAAGGTAATTCAATGGAGAAATGATATTATTTCTATTATCATACATAAATGATGTACAGCTCGAATTGAATCATAGATCTAAAATTACAAAACTTCCAGAAGAAAACATTGGAGAAAAATCATTGCGGTCTTAGGCTAGGCAAAGATTCCTTAGATAGGACTCCAAAACTATAATTCATAAAAGAAAAATATTGCTAAATTGGACTCCTTCAAATTTAAAGGTTTTGCTCTTCAAAAGGCAATGTTGAGAGTATAAAAAGACAAGTCAGGCGGCACCTGTGGCTCAATGAGTAGGGTCCTGACCCCATATACCAAGGGTGGTGGGTTCAAACCCAGCCCCAGCCAAACTGCAACAAAAAATAGCGGGTGTTGTGGCAGGCACCTTTAGTCCCAGCTATTCAGGAGGCTGAGGCAAGAGAATCACCTAAACCCAAGATTTGGCGGTTGCTGTGACGACAGAACACTCTACCTAGGGTGACAAAGTGAGACTGTCTCTGGAAAAAAAAAAAAGACAAGTCACAGCGTCACAGGCTGGGAAAACACATTTCAAAGATATTCAAGATAAAGGACTTGTATCTAGAATATACAAAGAACTCTCAAAGCTCAGTTTTGATGAGAAATACATAGATTCCATAAGCTACAGGGCTGCTCTGCCAGTTGAGTCGGCAATCTTCCTCAGTCTCTTCTCTTAAGGATAAGGAACTGCCTGGCAGAGAGTGGGATATTCCCATTGAAATTGAGATATCTGGCTGGGTGCCTGTAGCTCAAGTAGCTAAGGTGCCAGTCACATACACCTGAGCTGGCGGGTTCAAATCCAGCCTGGGCCAGCCAAACAACAATGATGGCTGCAACCAAAAAATAGCCAGGCATTGTGGCTGGCACCTGTAGTCCTAGCTACTTGGGAGGCGGAGGCAGGAAACTCGCTTGAGCCCAGGAGTTGGAGGTTGCTGTGAGCTGTGATGCCATGGCACTCTACCCAGGGGGACAGCCTGAGACTCTGTCTCAAAAAAAAAGAAAAAAGAAATTGAGATATCTTAGAGGATTCAAAGCACTAGGATGTTGTCGAGTCCCTAGTTTCATCTGAAATTATCCCTATATTGCTGCTTGTCAGATTAAATTATGGCTCCCTTTTGGGAAAGAGCTAACATTTCCCTCATGCCCCATCTTTTATCATTGCTACCTTAGTAATCAACATCAGAATTCAACACGGCTTTTAGAAAGAAATGGGGCTGGGAGTGGAAGGAGAGGGTTAATGAGAGATATCCTGGAGAAAAATTAGAAATTCCTTAAAATGGGGACATTTTTTCAGGAGATGAACACTTGGAGTAGTCAACCATGATAGATAAAATGCAACCTGGGATATGGCTCAATGTATGGATGTAGTTTGAAAATTAGCCTGCCTCGGTTCTAAAGGAATGAACTCAAAAGACAATAATAGTACCTCATGCTTGTAATCTTCACATTTGGGAGGCCAAGGCAAGAGGATTGCTTAAGATCAGGAGTTCAAGACCAGCCTGAGCAAGATCCTGTTTTTACAAAAAATTTAAAAACTAGATGTGGTAGTACATGCTTGTAGTCCCAGCTACTTGGGAGACTGAGGCAGGAGAATTGCTTGAGCCTAGGAATTAGAGGCTGGAGTTAGAGGCTGCAGTGAACTACAAGGAAGCCACTGCAACAGATCTAACCCAGGCAAGAAATCAAGACCCGTATTTAAAAAAAAAAAAAAAAAAAAAACACTAATAAAAATAAAGGCATCCAAAATCTTCAGGAGACAGGAGGGTGGTCTAGTTCCTTCCCATGTGCTGTGCCCACACATAACTTATCACATCTTCTTCACACTTTTCAACCTTTCCAGGAGTGACAGGTGATGAGCAGAGGAAGCAACAAGGCCTTTTAAAAAGCACTTCATGACTGTACTCACAATAAACAAGAACACTCCAGACAGGGCTGCTGTTCACGTAAGGCCTTTGGTCTAGGTCGGAGGTAATAGGAAAAGCCCTAAGTGGCCATGCCAAGTAAATAAAGGCTCCTAACCACTAGAGCTAAGGCAGACAGTCATGTCATCAGATCTTCAGGAGTGCCTGACATGCAGAGAACACTGGCTATGACTTGGTGCTCTGAAAATTAAACCAAAAAGCAGGCTACTCAGATCTTAATGACTTTGAATAAATTCAAACTTCAAAATTTCTCAAGTATGGGAAAGTAGACACCTGACTTCCATTGAGGAAACCTAACTTTTCATCTAGCTCCCTGACCTGAGTCAGTTCACGAATCCAGACTCCATTACATGTCAGGACGGCAGGGATGGGTGTGGAAGGATCCTGCCATGACATCACATCTATCCAAGAAGCTCTCTCACAGCCATTCCTGAAAGAAACAAAGCCATTTGCCTGGCTGCACATGAGTCCCCAGGAACCCAGAACACCTCTGGGCTTGTCAGGCTGAGTGGGGGCTGTTGGCTATGAATGATAAATGAGGTTCTAATCCAAGTTTGCATCTTGGCAGGCCTAGTGGACCCTGAGCTCTTTCTGAGGATATTTCAATATTCTGAGTGTGACCACTTGGCCCAAGATTCTAGACTTGTAATGCCTTCCTTCCACTAGTGGAAGAGAGCAGGAGTGGAGGGTGGAGGAGGACACAGCAAACCTGGGGGATACCTTAGGAGTCAAGGGTAGGCTAACACCATTAGACCAGTGACCGGGCCTCAGACCACAGGGACAGATCCAACCAGAGCATCTGGTCTTCCAGAGAAGAATGGGAGGCCCTTTCTCCACACTGAGCTAGCTTAATCTCTGACTATGCTCCTATCTGGCTCAATAGCTTTCAATCTTTCTCTAACTCCAACCTATGAATTTCTAGGAGGTATCTTTGTGATTAGAAAAAAGCACCCAAGTGATTTTCCCGTGTTCCCTCAAGTGTCACTTGACCAAATGTCTGCAGCCTTAGTCAGTGCACTGCCAAGGTTGAAACTAGGCAGAAATCCAACTCATGTTTCCCACGCTCTGTTCTCATGGCCTTCCCAACCAGGACCTCCTAGGGGGAGAAGTGACCTCAGGGAAGGGGATACAAAGGTACCTCTGCATCCCTGTTGAAGACCTGGCACATCTTATATATCCACCAGGGTCCACCTGCAATTGCCTCTTCTGAAACCCCCAAAGTTCAAAGGCTGGGTTGAATGCTTCACTGTGGGGTGCATTACTGAGAACCTGCTGACCAAAGGGACCCTTTCATGATACCCCAACAATCCAACAATGCTAAAGATTGAGTCCTTTTAGGAGAGAATCCTGGGACACATGTCTGAGTTACAACCCAATCTCTCTGAGGACAAAGAAGTTGAAGGTGAGCTTAGGAAGAGCATGGAAACAAAACGTGACAAATTGCTCCAAGAGTCAACAGAGAAGAACGAACCAGATAATGCAGAAAGACTCCTGGACTTCCTGGACTCCTATAACCTCTGGACAACCAGGTCTTTCTCACTGTCTGAGAGTACATCAGTCCAAGATTAAAGAGAAGGCGGACTTCTTTTGGAATGCAAACACGCAGGGTCAGCTAGGGGAGGGTCTTTCTAGTTTCTCTTTCTGTTATCTCAGTTCCTTTCTATACTCTGTTGCTCAAATCAAAGGCAAGTTGTCTCTTTCACTGAGGTCAAAAAGGACCTCATTCTTCTTCCTTAAGGAAAAAAAAAAAATAGCAGAGCCCTGCCATTGTGTTGTGTTATACATATAGGGGAAGACTTAATTCTTGGGGTCAGGTGTCTTGAACAAATGATTCCCATCAAAAAGCACGTATTTCTAGAAAATGGACTATCTAAATGCAGACTCCCCAGTGATCTCATATGTTGAGCCTCAGGCCTAGGGTCAGGCTTAGCAGCTTCTGAGCAAGAAATGAGAGAGTACTTGTAAGGATAGCTACAGAGATGCACAAAGTTTTAGGGAATGGGACAAGACCCTCAAGGCAGGTGCAGCTTCCTAGGTCCTGGCAAGTGTAAGCCTAAGGAGGCGACCACTGCTTCAGAAAACAGCAGGGAAAAAACAAGGTCATTTATCAAGCTTGAATAATTCAGACAGTCATTTGCATATTTCACTGATAGGATTTTATTAAAATTGTACATAGATTTCATACTTAAATTTAAAAAGAACTTTTTTTCTAGTATCAAAATAGTTATCTTTTTAAAATACCTTGAAAAACTTTAATGCAGTTATTTTGTTATATATTAAATATTCACCTAAAATCTCAGTCATTTCTTTCCAGTCTCTCTCTCTCCCCTAGAATCTTGCCTTACCCATCACTACCCTTTTCTCTTTTGTTTTGTTTTCGTTTGTTTGCTTTTTGGCATCTTTCATGCTTATCCCAGAGAATCATTAAAAGGAGAATAGTTTCCTTTAAATCCACTATTAAAAAAAAAAAAAAAAGAAAGAAAGAGGAGAAGCCAGTGATAACATTAGATAGTGCAGTGAATTTTTTTTTTTCTATTAAGCAGACCCAGGGCTGGGTTCAAACCCACCACCACCAATGCATGGGGCTGGCACTCTAACCACTGAGTACAGGTGCCCAGCCAGCAGTGAATATTCTTACTGACTAGGCAGGGTCACCTGTAGAGCTATGCTTCAGTTTGCAGCCATCCTTCCAAGTCTCTTTAGTAAATATCAGTTCTTTCCCTGAAACTGGTAATACTGACCCAACACCACCCTCTCGTGGCCAGACTGAGCCAAAGCACCCCAAAACACAGGAAGGTATTTAGACATTGGATTATTTGGACATTAAGTGTTGGAAGTCCAGACATGGAGAATATATACGTATATATTTTCCCCTACCCCTGGTGATCACAAGACAATTGGCTCCCCGGAAACCCACAGAATGCCAGCTTCACACAATACCAAAACAGTCCATCAAAAGCTGGACTCTGGTAAGGTTTTCTTCCGGCCTAAGGAAAGAGTGTGGTACTTGACTTTCTGCAAGGTGCCGTAAGAAGTCTGCTCCCCCAAAACACTCCTCTGTGACGTGCTAAGGGCACTGCCTCTTGGGGGCCTGCCAGCTTTGCGAGGGAGGTGCAGAGAGCTGGGGGCCGACCGAACGTCCCTCTCCAGATGGCTGCCCAGGCCCCTGGCCAGGTTCTCTCGGATCCTCAGGGAAGGCGATGAGCCTCGAGCCTGCATGTCCATGGCAGGGCTCAGCCTGCCACTGACCAGGGAGACCGGGGGTGCCGAGAGGCTGCCCTCTGCCCTGTCATTCCTCTTATTCTCCTTCTTCCAAAACATAGACCTCAGAAGGGTGAGCGTTCCCTGTGGGGGTCTGTCCACCTCAGAGTCCCTTTCCCCCACATTAGCTCTCATCCTGGCTAAAGCACCTCGAGGGCTGCCCTTACTATTTCCAGACAAGCCTGCAGAGGGGGAGGAGGGGCCGTTCTTTGCCGCCTGCCCGCTTCCCTTCCAATTCGTGGCCTTCTGACCCTCGGGCCGAGCAGCTCTCTCGCTCTCCATTGAGGGCATCACAGTGAGGGGCAGATCAAACTTTCTGGGAAGCCTGATGTCCTGGCTTGCATTTTCCTTTAGCTTTCTTGCTGTGTTTAGACCATCTGAGCTTCCGAGACCCAGACAGTAGTTGGGGTGGCCTGAGGGACAAGGTGCCGCGGCCAATCCTCCTTCACTGACTTGGCCACTATCTTCACCTTTAGCAGAACAGGCGACACCCAACCTCGGCGACGCTGACTTCTCCGCCTCCCCAGCAGCACCCGTCAGCAGTGGCACAATGGACTGGCTTGTGGACCGAGGTCTTCGCCTGGACTCCAGATACTCCACCAATTCCACAGAGGCACCGGCTGGCTTCTCCCTGGGTCCAAAGGACCACCGGAGTGGCATGGTCTTGAAGGGCCCCTGCTTGGCTCGGGAAGGAGTCCAGTTCACCTTCATGCTGAAGCTTCTGCCTTGCATGCCCCGTACCAAACGCCTGGGCTCCAGCCCTCCTGAAAGATACCAAGACCATCAGCACCCAAGTGACCCTGCAGCTGCAACTTGAGTAGCTGCAACATTGTCATCTAACAAGCATTTACTGAGCACCTGTGAAGGGCCAGGCACTGGGCTGGGCACTGGGGACCAGGGTTCCTGCCCTCCAGGAACAGCAATGCTTTCATCCACTGTTCTACAGAATCCATTGACATATATGAATACACAGGGCCAGTCAGACCCACAGAGCATGGCAGAAGGTAGCCTTGTACCTGGGCAGCACAGACTCCTGATAACGCTCTGTCTTGGAGGCACCTAGCTCTAAGATCTAACATCATTTCCACCCACCTTTAAATATTTCTATGAAATAGAATGTTCAGCCAAAATTCTTTCTTTTCCAAGTCATATTGGGTACTTACACCTTACAAATGCAAGAATCCCAGATATTCTACTCTGGGGTGGGGTGGAGGGGATGAACAGTGTGTTTCATTTTATTAGAGCTGCCACATACAGCTTCACTGTGTGCTTTGCAGTATCTGTAGATAGCTGGGAACAAGTTTTTGATATTATTGTTGAGTGAGAAATAGAGTTTTAAGAAACTTATCATAATCCAATTTGCAAAAATATATACACATATGTGTATATTATGCATGAATATGAACACACACAAACAAGGATGGAGAAAAGTGGGAGGATCGCTTGAGCTCAGGAGGTCAGGACCATCCTGAGCAAGAGCAAGACACTGTCTCTACTAAAAATAGAAAGTTAGCCAGGTTTCTCCAAAAAAAAAAAAGATGGAAAAATTAATTCTAAAAACAACAAAGTATGGAAAGGACTGTGGGGTGCCAAGTTTGACAGATTGTATTCTTAATTCTCTCCTCTATCTCAACATTTCTCCAGTGAAATGTATGTTTTTTCCTTAAGAAATTCTCAGTCAGCACTCACTGTACCATTCAAATGCCTTGATTAATGGAATGCCTGCCATCACTAAAAAAGAAATCTTTGATTGAAATACACAGTCCACAGGATAGTCCCGTGCATTTGGAGAAAGGCTGTAGGTCAACCTCCCAAGCCGTTCCCACAGCGGGCCACTGGGAGCATGCTCCTTCATCATGGGTTGTGACAGTGCTGTGGACTGAAGGTTTGTGCCCCCCCCACCAGGGTTCCTATGTGGAAGGAGTTGGGGCTTTGGGGAGGTGATTAGGTCACAAAGGTGTGGCCTTGGGATTAGTGTCCTTCTAGAGCCAGTTTTATTTCTTTCTTTCTTTCTTTTTTTTAAGAGATAGAGTCTCACTTTGTTGACCTTGGTAGAGTGGCGTGGCGTCACAGCTCACAGCAACCTCCAACTCCCGGGCTTAGGTGATTCTCTTGCCTCAGCCTCCCAAGTAGCAGGGACTATAGGCGCCCGCTACAATACCCGGCTATTTTTTGTTTGCAGTTTGGCTGGGGCTGGGTTTGAACCCGCCACCCTCTGTATATGGGGCTGGCACCCTGCCCACTGAGCCACAGACGCCGCCCACCAGTTCTATTTCTGCTATGTGAGGACAGTGAAAAGCCATCTGCAACCTGGGAGGGGGCCCTCCCCAGGACCTGACTATGCTGGCTCTCTCATCTCAGACTTCCAGCCCGCAGAACTTTGAGAAATCCATTTCTGTCGGTGATACAGCCCCCTAGTCTATGGTATTCTGTTAGAGTAGCCGAAATAGAGTACAACACAGAGAAACTCCAAAATTGAGCAAGACCACTACACAAAGAAACCCCTGTCAGTGGCAGGGCCAATGCAATTTGCAAGGTGAACAGAGATCATTGGTGCACAGGGGTGAGCTCAGAAAGAGCAAAAGAATGTGACACAGGGGTGGCAGGGATGCTGGCAGGGGAAGCGAACTACGCCTCAGCCAAGTGCCTGGAGAAATGGCTGCAGGGAGACAGAGGACGCCCGGGGCTCCAGAAGGAGTTAGAAAGTGGCTCAGAGGTTCCTGAAAAATTTTACCTTTCAGGTTTTCCACGCAGAATTTTTGATATTTGTTTTCTTTAAAGCATTTCTTTCAATTAGCCAGGCATAGATATAATTTTACCCTCCTCTAAACTTTGTAATTTCAGTTTGGATTGACCTTATTAAATTCCCAGACCTTGGAGGGGAGTAAGTATTCTGGGCTCTGAGATGTGTGTGAAGTTTCTTTATTTCTTTCCCACAGCCCTGGGAAGACCAGAAAGAGAAGCTTTGTATCAGGAGGACAAAGCTGTGACTTTTAGCCTTTCAAAACAAGAGCACGTCGCCCGGAGCCCTGGCAGGTGGTTAGAGGACTTGGCAGCTGCCCTAAATAGCCGTCCTTCCTTTCTTCCCGCTGGGAAAGGGTCTGAGGCCAGGGCTGACTCAACGCCTGAGCTACATTTCACGGGAGCCGCAGATGCCACAGGACTCACTGCTCCTCTTTCTCAAGGTGGTGGTGGAAAAGCACCCTGCTTTCTTTATTCTCTTCCCTTCTATTCATTGGACTCTGATAACAGGATGTGAGAAAGAGAGAGCACTTTAATAAAATTGAGAATAAACAGCACTAGGGCAGAAGGGAGGGAGAAAGCCCCCACACTAACACCACACGCTTCCAGGCTACTAAGGACCCCCACTTCTTGTTCAGGGCAGACACAAGTCCTGGTGTCCTTGCCTAGGCTGCCAGGAGCTGCAGACACAGGTGTGCCCAGGCTCAAACTCAGTCCCCAGCCCAAGAGGACTCCTGCCTTGCTCCTCTCCAGCCAGTCTAGCGTGAGAACCAGTGAGGGCCTAGAGTTTTACACCACATTAAAAACACAGAGAGTTAAGTTCTTCCTGAAGGTGAAGAAGCCCCACAGCAGGCATCATGAGCTTCTTGGGCCCCACAGGGGCTCCCTTCACATGGATGGCACCTGCACAGCTGATGGGCTGCCCCGGCACCGCAGCCCTGGGGGCAGCAGATGCCACTCTGAGAAGCAGCACAGCTGTTCCTGACCCTGTTTGGCCACCGTGATTCCTATGTGACTTTCCTTCCTCAGCTCCCAAAAGAAGCATCAATTCAGACTCAGTATGCGCTAGGAGTGGGGCCAGAGGACCTCTTGGTGCCATCCTTAGCCAACAGGCAATAGGACTTTTCCTGGTCCAGGATTTCAATTTCTCTAAGGGTTTCCATAGTGCCTCATATGCCTACACACTTACTCATTCAGAAGACAGCTCATGAGAGCCTTCTGCATGCCAAGGACTGTCTCAGGGCTGGGGATACAGCCGGGGAGGGGGATATGAAGGTTCTGTTCCTATGGAACTTAGCAAAAGCAAAACTACGAGTTATCATGTGATGTAGTGGTAAGAGCTGTAACAAAGAACAAGGCAGGATAAGAGGGACACAGGGAGCAGGCGCGCTGAGGAGTGGCCTGAGGGAGGGAGCCAGGTGGAGACCTGGAGAAGCTCCAGGCAGAGAGAGAAGCCAGTGCAAAGGCCCTGAGGCAGAGGCAGCTGGACAGGGGCCAGGGACACAGCAACAGGAGAAAAGGGGACACACCAGGGCCTCTGCCCTTCTAAGCCCCAGGCTGTACCTGGGGACATCTGTCTCTGGCTTTCAGTGCCAAAAACAATTATAGGACCTTTAAGTCCTAGTTGTTTTTGTTGTTCTTTGTTTTCTTTTGAAACCTCTCTTGTGCCCTTTATCATTCACCCGGAGGCAAGCCTGACTCCCCAACTTTCATATGGTCCCTAGAAGGTAAGAAGTGCTGCACACAGGAGTTGAGGCCTCTCCCCCTCTGAGGTTGAGCAGGACAGGCTGGGGAAGAGAAAGGCTGGATGTCATACCACCAGCCCTCAGCAGCCAAAGCCACTGCCCCTCAGGAGAGGATGGAGCAGGGCCTAGAGGACAGGAACAGGAAAATAACACAGAAGAGGGTGCAGGAGTCAGAGAGTAAGAATGAAAAGAACAGACAGAACAGGCCCTGAGGAAACAGGGCCACCAGAGGAAACCCATGACAATTTAAAGTAATCAATAATTGTTGAGTCTCAAGTATAGAACAATGGGAAACTGAGAAACATGACTTTCTGGATTTAAAACCAGTGAATCACCTGAAGCCACACAGAACCACTGCTGAGAACACAGTGATCTCAAATGACTGGCCTGAGTGAAAAAAGGGAAAGAAATATCTTACTCCAACTTTACACCTGTTGTGTTTACCTGGATGGAGCTGAAATATATTTTTCTTAGTAAAGTACCACAAGAATGGAAAAACAAGTATCTAATGTACTCAATACTAACATGAAACCAATATATATAAACAGCTATATGCCCACACAAAAGAAAAAACACAAGTATAGTCTAGCAAGGCAGGGGAGGGGAGAGGAGGGGAGAGTGGAGGAGGGATGGGATTGGCAGGATCTCACCTAATGAGCTCACTGAGAGGGTGTTTAGCACACCCCCTAGGTGAAGGGCTTAACCACAACTTGAATTTTACCTTAGAATTGAAAACAACGTAACCTAAACATTTGTACTTTCATATTAATCTGCAATTAAAAAAAAAAAAAAAGAAATATCTCACTCCATACAGGCAAAATAACCACAAGATAAAAACCCAAAAGGGAAAAAGGCAGGAGACTCAGAAGACCAATCCCAGAGACCCAGGAGCAGTAACAGAAATCTGAAAAGCAGGACAGACAATCATGAAACAAAAAAAATAAAGGGACATTTCCCCCAAAGAAGGCCTGAGTCCATAGAGGGAAAAGCAACCCCAAATTCTATGCAGGGTTAAAGAACAAAAACACAGACCAAGGCATATTCTGGTAGGATTTCTAAACACCAAGGTCAAAGAGAGCATCTCCAAAGCTGCTATCCTCAAAGAACAAATGATTCTCATATGACAAAGAACAGCCTGGGCTTCTCACCTGCAACCCGGGGCCTGGGAGGCCGTGGGAAAATAGCTGGAGACGCCTGAGAGAAAGGGGTTGCAACCCAAGAGTCCTGCAAGCGGCCAGGCCGCCACTCACTCTCAGGCGGAGGAAATAATTGTGGCT